CGTGCCATACAGTCTACGCTTCCCCATTCAAGTGCATCCACTCATCAAATCTGTATTCGCCGTCGTCCGCGTACCATATCCCCTCGGGCGCGGACTCGCGAGTCCAGCTTCGGTCCTCCGCATACCTCCGCTTTTCATGTGCTCCCCCCATTCATCCTTTTTTTGTTGAAGGTCTTCAGATTCTCGTTTGACATACGCATGCTGATGTTTTGACTGCTACAGGGGACTTCTTCCCGCCCGCGTTCAACTGCCCACACGAAGTCGAGCGGCTCGGTTCGCTCGGAGACGGCGGCAAATGGGTCTGCGGGCTCTCGCGCGTGCAGGACAAGCCCGACTGCGTGGTGTACTCCTTCGGGCTCGACTGGGACTCGTCGTTCGAGGCGGACCTGCTCGCGGAGACGAGGCATTGCGAGGTGTGGGGGTACGATTATGTCGCGCCGGGCTTTGGAGGGTCCGTGTCGAGGAGCGTGAGGCCGCGCACGCATTTTGCGAGGCTGGGGTTGGGCGCGGCGGATTCGCATGGGAAGACGGATGAGCCGAAGATGTGGACCCTGGAGAGTTTGATGCGCGCGAATGGTGAGTGACTCCTTAGTGGCGTGCGTTCAGCGTCTTTGAAGATGCTGATGCTGATCGGTGCGGTCGCACAGGCCATACGCATATTGACATCTTGCACATCGACATCGAGGGCTGGGAGTTTGAAGTGCTGCGCGCGATGATGCGCGATTTTCTTGGTGTGAGGCATGAGGGGTTGGAGGGCGCGGAGGGGGAGGTGGAGCGCGGTGTGCTCCCGTTTGGACAGCTCTTGATTGAGTTTCATGTGTGGCATCAGCGGTTTGCGGATTTCCTTGCGTTTTGGGAGATGCTGGAGGCTGCGGGGCTGCGGCCGTTTATGTCGGAGGTGAGCGTTGTCTGGGCTGTTCAAGATGTGTAGGCTGATGTGTGGTGTAGGTGAACCTTGTGTATGCGAATTATAACCGGCAGAGCGGCGTCGAGCTCGCAGATGTGCGTAGGCCGTTTATTTATGCGCGTCCACCTTCGTTGTGACACTTACACTGACACATGCTATCCTCATGCGCAGTATTCTTTCCTCAACATCCGCGGCGACAACGCGTTCATCTCAGATGGGATCACACGGATAGATCCCGAGGACGCCGTCGCCGCTGCCGCCGTCGCAGAAGCGCAAGCGGACGCGGACGAGCCGGACATCAGGAACGTCCGACACGCGATTGTGCAGCCCGCGGCGGACCACCGGAGGGCGGTATGAGCCCTGTGGTCCCTGTGGCCCGAGGCTTCTTTGTATGCGCATATATGATTTATCGTGAGCATGCTTGTGCTTTTTTGTGTTGGGTGTGAGTGAGAGATGCTGAAGAGCGCCTTGGGCGTGGATTGAAGGTATATGCGTGCATTGGCTGATTCAAGAGCTGCATCGGAGCTCTCTCAATGAAAATCGAATCGTGGATTGCTTGCTCCGTATCCCCGCCTCTTATACCTCCCCCCTTCGTCGCCTCATCGTGTCTTCTCTGCGCCAGACACAACACATATACACATATACACACCCACTCCGACGAACTGGACGTCCTGCCCCGCGCTTCGCTTCGCTTCAGTACTATAGCCCTAATGGCGTACGTACGTTATGAACCCCCCAGACCACCTACATCTTTGCCTGGCCGTAGCTGGCTGGCGCTGTATTTGTTCCCGCCGATCTCGCGTCTCGCTTGATATATGCACATATGAGCTGTTATGAATGTACTTATTTATGCGCGTTCGTGTTCGTGCGTGTGGCTTTCTCATGTAGAGTTGGCATTCGTCGCAATGTAACGGGCCGCTTACAACGCAGTTCACACTACAGAGCTAAATGTCGGCAGACGAGTTGCAACAGAGATGCCAGGAGTTAAACGTTGACGGGGAACCGATGTGAGGAAAGGCGAATGAAGGAGTCCCAGCGGAGTCAGACAAGGGGAGCGCAAGGAGGTTGTCTTCGAGTTCGCCCTTCCCCTAGCGCGCCAGTGACGTAGTGGACTCCGATAGTGACTTTGCACTCTCAGGTGCAGAACAGTTGAAATTCCTCTCTTGGACTCTTCTCACCTCGAGTCCCCGCTACGGCTGGGCGTGTCTTCTTAACTAAGTATACTTCTCCGCATCTTGCTTCTCGCCTCCCAGGTAGGGTTATTTCGTCAGAGATTTCGGCATTATGAAAAGACGGTACTGTATAGTAAGATCCTCTGAATCGCATAAAAGGAAGACCCAAATGTCATGTTAAAATGCTGTGGTGAATCCAACGCAGCCTTCCTCGCTGCGGAAGACCAACAGGTCAGCTTCAAAAAGACCATCGCACCACGATGGGAACGACAAATTGTACTACGCATTACTCGTTATCCTTCCCGTCTACGCGAGTGTACTCCACGTCTACCAAAGTCACATTGCTGGCACCGTGATCAAGACTGATGGTCTCCAGCATGCCTGCTCTTCGTAAATCGCTCGTGGCAGGCTCGCCAACGCTCGCGATGCGCTTTCGCAGATCCGCATGCTCTGCGGTCAGCCAGATGACGTGCAGCGGGCCCATTCCGTCCAACATGTAACTCGCTTTCGTTGCTCCGTATGTCAGGAAGATTGCCAAAACGAGAAGCAGGACAGATGCGACGAAGCCGAAGAATAACTGCCAATTTGTCAGATTGAAAGACTGGCGACTCGGAAGGGCTTACTGGTATAGGGTTAATCTATGAGCAGCGAGGTGAGTTGGTGCATGTCACGAGCATTCAATATAGATCGTACGTTTAGACGGGATACAGTCTGAGCGACGACCGTAGATCCGCGGACGATTGACGTGTCATTCCCTGGTTGGCCCGAAGGCAAGAGATGGACGCCTGAGGGATGAGACGGCGTCAACAAACAAGTGTGTTGCGAGAAATAGTGCTGAACTTCTCACTGGCCCAGAATACGGAGGCGCTCAGATCGCCTTTGCCACGGAAACCTTTTCAGCTACGAATCTCACTCGCTGAAATTAAACACGGCTCACTGAGTGTGTTCTCAAACTGTGTCAACGTGACGTTACCGCCGAGGGGCTGACCGAGCGCAGTCATGATATACCTGCAAGCAGATCAGCATGTACATCATGACGGGGATCATCACACGTAACTCGTCGATTTGAGACGTAGGTAAGGGTTCACCATTCGCGTTCGGCAGCGCGTAACCATTATAATACGCGCCGTTGATGGGGTCATCCAGCATACTGGCCCACTGCAACAGTATTGAGCTCCGATACTGCAATAATGCACGATTTGAGTACGCACTACGTCCGCCTGGAGATCTTCCCTCTGATCTGTGGAGTTCTGCAATCCTGGCTTCCATTCGGACCATGCAGATGATCGGTTGATCGCTCTTCCAGGCTCTATAGCTAAAACGTATCTCGAACCCGTATCTACGATGGCTTTGGTAGGAGTCCATGAGAGTGTGCATCCGATAACCTGCAGATTCGTGTAGTTGTAGCCTGTGTAGATTAGTTGACTGCCATTGACGATATGGGGAGGCGCACATACCCGAGACGTACGATCCTGCATTTCCCTGACTGTCCACCACATCAAATGTCGTGAGAAATACGGCATTACGTCCCTGAAGTATAGCAGGGACATTCAGTGTCACATCGACAAGGAGGGCCAGGTACTGACTAGGGGTAAGCCAGTGTGCAAATTCGGATCAAACCAGGTGTCGTGTATTACTCTCCCGGAATCTGTGTCGACATTGGCACACCGACAACTGCGGTAGTATAGAATACATTTTACCGAGGATCCCCCAGAAAAAGAAGGTCATGTCGTAGTTATCGTATATTGCATTGGCCTTCCAATAATATTCTTCTCCTAGTACGTTTGAACTTGTTGCTGTAGTATTCGGCACGTTGAAGCATTCTACTTCAGCAGTCGTGGCATTGACCGTGGTATTGCCCACACCATCGTTCGGGTCCAGTATGTCATATAACGTGGGATTGGCGAGACCTAGTGTTGACTGATTGCCGACGATCGAGAGGTACGGCAGCAGCTGGATCGCTGTTGACCAACTGCCGTTAACGTCAGGGCTACGATGCATCAGCAGTAGAATGTAAACAAGCCAAGGACAGACAAACCCAGTGAGATAGTCGATTTGCGGCATGCCCGCCGTCAAATTGACCGGCAGTGCATCTGATTGGTCGGATGTATCCATGGAAAACAGGGACGAAGTGCTGATATGGAGCACATAAAGACACACTAAGTAGATAGTGATAGAAAGAGTACCGGGAACTGCAGCAGGGATAGAGAATTGCCTCCCTAGAGTCAAAAGTGCTGACCCTAGACCTGTCCAAGCTGTTGAGACATCATGGACGGCTGTGACGTTCTTTGGCCGAAGAAGCACGCGATTGAGGGAAAGGTGCTGAGTGATGAACAGTAGACAGGCAACATATGTCTATCACATATCAAGCAAATGAAGTTAGTGATCTCGGCGACTCCAATACAGTGGCACTAACCACTATGAACATTTGAGACACAGCAGAAATGCGACTGGATACAGCACCAGCACGAGCCACGGAGACAGTTACTGCATGTTCAGCACCACACGCCCAGGTGACGACCAAGCCCACATGCAAAAGCACCAGCAGCATATGCAGCATGATCAATAATCCATATAGTATCTTGCTGCGATTCGACATCTCAAGTGATGAGACTGAGTAAAGGATAGGAGCCGGCGCGGGTAAAGAACTGGTGAAAATCAGGATGTTGATGGAAGGTAATATGAATCCCATGTAAAATATACGCTCGGTGACATATGACCAAGCCAGCTGTCCATTTGACGTTGGCAGTGCATGGTAACAAACGCTGGTTGATGTTGGTGAAACTCGTCGCATATGCCACGAATTTAGCCTTGAATATCGGTCTGGAGCATCGAGTCATGTCTTCGTCTTGATCAACAATTGGGCGAAGACAGATGTCACCGGATCCCGAATGATTTCGATGATGACCCTGGTTACTAGCAACTATAGTGATCGTGAAGCCCGTTGCCGTCCTCATGCTAGTGTGGCTGAGCGAGTAACGTTTGCCGCGCTTGTGGCTTTTTTTCGCGCTTGTGGCGCGCTTGTGCCAGCCGGGGGTTGACCCCCGCGTGCTCTTCCTCCATCCGCAATTTTAATGGCAGTTGCTGGGCGCGTGCTCTTTTCGTCCCTCGTTTGAGCACTGTCCCGTCCATCGTCCGCGTACTCACGATCTTACCCTTGGTGGTTATCGCCTGCTCTCTGGTTGCATTCGGCCAAATGACGTGCAGCGGGCCCATTCCGTCCAACATATGATTCGCTCTCGTAACTTCGTATATCAGAACGACTGCCAAGATGAGAAGCAGGATAGACACGACGAGGCCGAAGAATAGCTGACGATTTGCCAGATTGGAAGACTGGCGCCCCGGAAGGACTTACTGGTATAGGGTTCACTGCTACCTACGAACAGCGAGGTGAGTTGGTGGGTTCCATCACGCGAGCAATCAACGTGGCATAAAAACCGTGACATTGGCAACGAGTGGGTTACAAGAAAGGTCACCGGCTTGAAACCTAACTTATTATGAACTTATTGAGATCTTACTTACTTATATAAATGTAATTCCAAGTCAGTAAGTGTCCGAGGACCGCAAGTGACTCGGGATTTTCCTGATGCAGAGGAGCACCACTTCCTCAAATACACAGCTGGGTCCTCTGGTAATGATTAGGGGTGTTGAGAATGCCCGGAGTGTAGAGATCGCCAGAATTCGGAACGGCGAGTGAGCGGGATGAGTGAGTGGGGCAAGGAGAGCTCGGGCTTGTATGCTGAGCTCCCTAATTCGGATTATCATATATATAAGTACAGATATGGAAATATTATGTAATGTGGCGCCAGCCACAACGACTTCGCTGGGTGCTCTCGGATTGCTTCCTCCGTGTTGGGAATGCCCGGAGGGAGCAATCCGAGAGCACCCAGTGAAGTCGTTGTGGCTGGCGCCACATTACATAATATTTTTTATATGTACTTATATATAAGATAATCCGAATTAGGGAGCTCAGCATACAAGCCCGAGCTCTCCTTGCCCCACTCACTCATCCCGCTCACTTGCCGTTCCGAATTCTGGTGAACTCTACAGGTTATGAGCCCCAGAGGTGCTGTATAAACACATACTACAACTATATGAGCCTATCAGCAAAAATCTACGAGTGATATATAAAAAGTGCAAAATTACCCCTATGCCGAAGAAGACTGACCATGCGGATTCTCACAATCCGTACCGCATGCCATACCTCACGGAGGACAATTGGCTTCCGTGGAAGAGGCATGTGCAGCATGTATGGAAGAGGAAGCATCTTACCAAATATGTGACCGGTGAGATTCCGATTCCACAGTCCCTGCCGGATACAGCGATGGCAGAAGAGAAGGCGGCGAGGGAAGCAGAGATCGCAGATTGGAAAGACAAGGACAGTGAAGCAGCAGAGGTTATGTTGATGTTCATGGCCAACAATCAGCTCATTCATGTGAGCGAGTCGAGAACATCACATGAGATTTGGGAGAGTCTTAGGATCGTAAAGGAGAAGCCAGGCCATCACGGTCTTCTGGCGCACCAGCGTACATTATATCAATCTCGAGCTCCAGATGACAAGGACATGGATGACTGGCTGAAAGAGCTGTGTCAGCTTCAGGAGGAGCTCCACCAGATGGGAAAGCTCATCCCAGACGATGAGTTCGTTTCAATCATCCTCATGTCGCTACCAGAATCCTGGGATTCATTCACGAATTTCTATTTCGGAGCAGCAGGAGGCCAGCCACAGTCTGGCACTGGAAACCAGATTATGTCACAAGATCTCATCACAGTCATTCACAATGAGAACTGCCGCTGGAAGAGCCGAGATACCGAGCAGGCTGCCACAGGCACCTCGCAGACTCAAGCCCTCTTCACCCAGAATGCGGAGTGGAAGAAGGACAAGAGTGTGATGAGGCCATGTGGCATCTGCGGTCGCAAGAAACACATCACGTGAGATTGCAAGTTCTGCGGACATCCCGAGATAAAAGGCGGAAACTGCAGGAAGTGGGGGCACAAGACCTTGCAGTGCTATGCCCCTGGAGGAATCTTATCAGATAAGGTGCAAGATGAACTGCCCAAGAAGAAGTCGAAGTTCGAAGTGTGTGAGCGCAATGATTCACAGATTGCTAGATCAAGCCACGCCAAGAGGGATCAGGCGAGAATTGCAGAAGATGATGATGATGAGAACTGTGTATCATTAGGTTCGGAAATTTCAGATGCTTCATTCTATGGTTGGTTTGCAGACTCTGGAAGCACCTCACACATCACCTCTCGATGTGATGGTTTCCAGACATATGAGCCCTTAAGCGACCACTTGATCTCCGGGATAGGTCCAGTGCCTATCAAGGCTTTAGGCTGAGGCACTGTTGCCATACGAAGTAAAGTGAGAAATCACATCATGAGGTTCAATCTTCGCAACATGCTACATGTGCCGACAGCATCCAGCAACCTTATATCCATTACACGGCTTAATGAAGCCAGTGGAAGGGTACACATGGGTGACAGTCATGTGTTAATCATGGATAAGCGCGGTGCTATGCTTGCTGTAGGTAAGAAACAAGGTCGACTTTATCAATTAAATCTCGAGCCTGTTTCTACCGCTTCTGAATTAATATATGCCACACAGGAGAACACTCCTCACACCTGAAATGAGTGGCACAGAATTTATGGGCATATTGCAAAACCAGCACTTACACGGTTACACCAGGAGCACATGGTCGAAGGCCTAGAAATCGTGTCCAGTCCAGATGATATTGAGTGTGAATCATGTGTGCAAGCGAAAGCCATCAGGAAATCATTTCTGAGAGAGGCAGCGAAAAGAAGCACTGTCCTCAGAGAATGAACACACACAGATGTGTGGGGACCAGCTTCAACGACTGCCCTACAAGGATGGCATTATTTCATCTCATTCACAGATGACTGTACCAGATTTACTACAGTATCATTCATGAAAACGAAAGACGAGACATCCGAGAAAGTCAAATTTTATTTGACTAATCTCGACCATCATTATGGAATTCAGCATCATCAACTCTGCATGGAAAATGGATGCGAATATCTAAATAACGATTTGACACAATGGTGTCAATTCCGAGAAATTGAGACATGCACAACTGCACCTTATTCCCCATCCCAGAATGGTATTGCTGAATGCCTTAACTGCACGCTGTTATCATGCTCATGCACTATGCTTTACGCACACGATATTCCATGCTATCTCTGGACAGAAGCAATAGGTCATGCCACATACATCAAGAACCGCGCACCTATGCGTGCATTACCTGACATGACACCCTATGAGAAGTGGAATGCGTGGAAGCCTAATATCGTGTACTTATGCAAATTTGGATCCACTGTACGGGTTCTCAATGAAACCCTTAATTTATCGAAGTTAGCATCACACGCCATCAAATATATATTCGTTGGCTATTTAGATGGACCGCGCACCATCCAATACTATGACACGTCCACATGCACCATGAAGACTTCGTGCAACCACCATTTTGCACCCGCTTCGGAGTTTTCACTCTCTGCAACAACCGCTACACTGAAACTGCAGGGGGAGTCCACGCTGGATCAAATGCACAAGGGGGAGCCTTCTACTGAGAATGCACCATGTTTCGATCTGAAGCACATCAAGATGGAAAAAGCACAGGTGCCTGAAGAACCTCAGAGATCAAAAAGGAAGATCACACATCCGAAGTATCAGCTCCTCAATGATCCTGAGGCAGATGATGATGATATGGATGCTGCTGCATCTGCCAAAGTAATTTACCAGGTGATGTGCACTTCCATGGATTCAGATGAGCCGAAATCATTACAGGATGTGAAGAACTCACCAGAATGGCCCCATTGGGAGCAGGCAGTGTGAGCTGAGTTGAAGCAGCTGCACAATATCGGGACATGGGATCTTGTAGATCTGCCTCCAGACCGCAAAGCAGTAGGCAACAAATGGGTCCTGGTTCAGAAGACCAACAAGGAAGGTGAGGTAATCAAATACAAGGCACGTCTAGTAGCAAAGGGCTACTCACAGATCCCTGGAATGGACTACACGGAGATGTTTTCGCCAGTGGTCTGCCTTGAGATGATTTGAGCTGTCCTAGGGCTAGCTGCAATCCTCGATTGGGAATCCAACAGATGGACGTCAAAGGTACCTATCTAAATGGGATCCTAAAAGAGGAGATTTATATGCACCAGCCCAAAGGATATGCAGACCAGATGCACTGTGTATGCAGATTACACAAGACCCTCTATGGACTCAAACAAGCTGGGCGTGAGTGGAATATTCAACTAAACCATGAGCTGATAAATGCAGGTTTTAGACGATTATTCTCAGACCCTTGCGCATATATTCAGATCAGAGGTGGAAAAGTAAAAATCGTTACCATATGGGTAGACGATCTACTGATATTCACCAATGATCCTAATATTATGGGTCATTTGAAGCATGAACTTCAGACCATGTTTGAAGTCACTGACCTTGGTGATCCAAAGAAGATTATCGGTATAGAAATTGAGTGAGATCATGCAAAATGCACAATTAAAATCACTCAAAATAAATATATTGTTTCTATCCTGCAAAAGGAAGGGTTAGTGAACTCAAATGCAGTAGGCATGCCTCTTGATCTGAATATTCCCCTTGAGAAGGAGAAAATTGAGATTGATGACATGCAAAACTGTAGCAACAGATATGCATCACTCATCGGATTTCTCATGTATGCTGCTGTGGCAACATGCCCAGATATTGCTTATGCAGTACAATGCTTAAGCTCTTTCACTGCCAATCCTGGCATGGCACATTGGACAGCTGCAAAGCGCGTTCTCAGATATTTATCTGACACACGAGATGTTGGGATAATATATGGTCCCAAAGAAGGAAAACTGTCATGGCACACCGATGACAAAGATAGACAACCCAAACAATGAGTCCTTGGGAGTCTTTGGGTAAAAGCCTACAACGACAAGCTGTGGTGATACGATGTGCCCACTGATGAGGCCGCAGTTGCTGTTCACAGAGTAAGACTTACTGGCGAGGCAAGGGGTGCTATCACAAAGTGTGAGAATGCAAATAGATGTATAGCACACTGAGAGTGTCTGGTAAGACCCCTCTGTGATGATAGTGGTGGACGAAGGAGAATAAGACTGGAGTCTCTCCTCGTCAGACCTGGTCGTTATATACATGATTGTTGTGCTACTGTACAGTACTACCTAAGCGAGTCACACGCTATTCTACTGATCAGTGCTACAATCGTATGACATGTTCCAATTATTCTGATTGGCTGCCTCATAATAACCCACAGAGGCAGAGCTCCCTTTGAGCATGCAATATTGCATCATGGCTATGGCAATCTATGATGCAATGCCGAGGGGCTCGGTGTCACATGACAATGCCAAGAGAGATCTGAGGTCATGTGACTAGATGCCTTGTTATCTTATCTCCCATTAGGTCATGTGATTCTTGTGCGACGCGAAATGATAAAAATAATATGCTTCCGATAGCATTTGTTCCTTTAATGACTTGTCAGGTAAAAACCGTGACATCACCCCCTTCTCAAGGTTCATCATCCCGATGAGCCAAAGCCTTTGGCACCTCGCATGGTTCACTTTGCGAGTGAACTGTCTGCCTCAGAAATGATTCCTGAAGTATAACATTCGCATATGAGTTGTGCGACATGATCACCTGTCCTGACTTCGAATGATTTGCTGGTCGTGTTAATGAGAAGCACCTTGATTTCCCCTGTGTAGTCTGGGTCGATTACCCCTGCTGCAACATTGATTCCTTTAAGGACTAGCCCACTTCGGGGGGCCATTCGAATGTATGTCCACTTTGGGGGGTCAACTGCAAGCCCTGTGCCAACGAGCATTCTGGAGTGTGGGGGAATGTCTAGATCTTGTGTGGACTTGACATCCCAACCAACAGCCTCTGAAGATCCCTTGTAGGGTGCTCGAGCATTTGGATGAGTGCGGTAAAAGACCATAAATTCATCAGAGTAATCTGACATGGCAATCTTGTGTCCTTTGCACGTTCGCGGCTTGGCTCGTGGAGCATCTGGGTGTGTCTTATGGAATTCCTCGACCTTGTCTTTGACATTAGTGAGGTTTTTCAGTGGTTCCCAAGTATTATCGCTGTGGTCGTAGTCTAACCATTTGACGAGATACTGGATTTTGTTGTACCTGACTCTGAAATCCAGGATGTCCTCTATGTCCCATTCCTCTTCTCCATCTATAATGACTGGGGGATTAGGGGGAGGTATGCATCCAGAAACAGAGTCTTGATGGAACATTATAAGCTTGGAAGCGTGAAACACCAGATGTAGCTTCATGTCCGCTGGTAATTGCAGTTTGAACGATACAGTTCTGATCTTTTCGAGGATTTTGAATGGTCCATAGTTCTGAGTCGCAAGCTTCTGGCTTTTGAGTTTTACATGGAGGTCTTTTCCTCAAATAAGCACTTCATCTCCTACTTTGAAAGGGACATCTTGCTTTTTTAGATCAAAATACCATTTCATTTTTTCTGCTGCTAATGACAGAGCAGCACTTGCTTGTTCCTGTGCTTGATCGCAGTTGTGAAATAAGTGTTCCAGGGATGGATGTTGTATTTCTTCCAATACATCGGGTGCCATCTGGGGGTGTCAACCATGCTCAATGAAGAACGGGGACAGACCTGTCAATTCTGAAGCTTGATTATTGTATGTGAACTCCGCTGTGGGCAATAATGTGGCCCAGTCAGTTTGTCAGTAGTTGCAGTACATACGCAGGTATTGCTCCAGAATTTGGTTGACTCATTCAGTTTGTCCATCCATTTCAGGGTGATAAGCTGTAGACATCGTAGACTTAATGTGAAGTTTCTGGCAAAACTCCTGGAATAGTTTGGCTGAGAACTGTGTGCCTCGATCAGATATGATCTGCCTAGGGATTCTGTGGAGTTTGAATACTTCATTGTAGAAGATTGACGCTACTTGAGATGCTGTCACCATGTCATCTACTGGGTAGAAGTGAGCATGTTTGGTGAACCTATCGACGACTACCAAGATGGCAGTTTTCTTTTCTCCCCTATGGTCTGGGCTTGGTGGTAACTGTGTAATCAGGTCACATGTAACCATTTCCCAAGGCCCCTCTGGTACTGGGTTAGGTTGTAACAGTCCATAAGGCTTTTGTTTGCTTGTCTTGTTTCTCTGACAAGTTACGCAGCCTTGGACGTATTTCTTCACATCAATGGTGAGCCCTGGCCACCAATAATTTTTGCTGATCAGCTCTTGCATCTTCCACCATCCGGGATGTCCGGTTGTGATGTAGCTTGATCAGCTCATTCTGCAGCGTAGAGTTTTTTGGGACATAGACCCTTCCTCTTCTGAGCAGCAATCCATGCTCGAAGTTTCACTCTTGAAGATCTTTTCCGAACTCTTGCTTGCCAGTTTTTAGTAGATGCTGGTAACCTTTGGTCATTTCATCGTCTTGTAGTGCCAATTTCACTCTTTCTAGAAGTTTTGCATCATCAACTTCAGAGGAATGAGTGGCTGAGATCGCATGGATGGCAAAGTATTCGGGTCAAAGTAAAGTTTGCCCTGAATTGTCATTGCTCACCCCCTTCTCATGATCTGGCCTCCTGAACAGAGAATCGGCATGCATCATCATCTTTCCGGGGCAGTGACAAAGAATAAAGTTAAATCGTGTAAGGTAAAGTGACCAGCGAGCTTGTCATTGGGTCAATGTTTGAGCTTGCTGAAAATAGGTAAGATTGAGGTGATCCGATCATATCTCAACTGGGTGAGGGTGTCCTTCAAAGTACTGCTGATATTCTTCTAATGCCCGAATGATGACTAGCATCTCCTTGTCATATATTTCATAATTTTGCTCATGTTCATTGAGTGATTTGGAGTAGTATGTGATGGGATGCCAGAGTTCGTCTTCTCCCAACTGTTCAAGGACTGCACCTGTTGCGAAGTCTGAGGCATCCATCTCTAGTCTAAAGGGACATGTTGCATTGGGGAGAGCTAAGATTGGGGTGGAAGTGAAGGCAGTCTTGAGGGCCTTAAATGCCTTTTGTTGAGATTCTTCCCATTTCCATTGAGTATCTTTACGTGTTAAGAGAGTCAAGGATCAGGTCATCGAGCCGAAATACTTGATGAATCGCCGATAGAAATTTGCCAGACCAAGGAATGCTTGTACTTGCTTGACCTTGGTGGGCACTGGCCATTTAAGCATACCGTCTACCTTTTTGGAGTTCATCTGTATCGAGCCTTTTGAGATGATAAGACCTAGAAACTTGACAAAAGTTGTCGCAAAGTGACACTTTTCTGGTTTCACGAATAGGTCATTGTCTTGAAGACGTTGAAGGACTTCTTGGGTTAGTCGGGTGTGTTCTTCTTGATTGTCCATGAATATTATGATGTCGTCAATGTAGACTGCCACCTTTTCTGTGCGAATGAGGTCTCCTGGTACGTCATTCATCATTGCCTGAAAAGTGCTAGGAGCATTACAGAATTCGAAGTACATAACAGTTGGTTCAAATAACCCTCGATGAGTAATGAATGCTGCCTTTTCCTTGTCTCCCTTGTGAAGGCATACAATTGTTGTACCCCCATCTCAGATCTAGCATCATGAAGAGGATAGCTTGTGAGAGTCCATCTATAAGATCATTGATTCATGGGAGAGGGGATTTGTTCTTCTTGGTGATGCTGTTTAAAGCCCTGTAGTCTTGGACTAGTCTAAGGGAACCATCTTTCTTTTTCGTGAAAAATACTGGGGCCGCATAAGGGGATTTAGAGGGTTGAATGTAGCCTTTGGCTAGTTCGCTGTCAATCCATGCATCGAGTGAATTCTTCTCTCATAAAGACATAGGGTAGACCTTTGTCGGTCTCAGGGATGCCGTGTCTGGGACAAGATCAATTGCATGATCATAGGGCTTACACGTTGACATTCTTTCCAAGCTCTTCTTCGAGAACACATCTCCGTATTGATGAAATTTTAGAGGGACAAATTTTGACCAGTAGTCTTTGTCCTGTGTCTCTTCTGCTGGTTGTTCTATCAAATGCTCCTTTACCTTCTTGCTTATGCCTAGGATGTCATGCAACATGTTATGAAGATCCTGGTCTTGCAAGTCTATCCAGTTAAGAAAGTTATCTTCCTGATCCCACCTGTCATCCTTGTGTATGTCAGGAAGAACTGCTTCATCTTCAAGCCAAGGTTGCAATAGAAGGTTGACTTCTTCTTTGCTTACTCTAACTTGTTGCTTCGTCATGTGTCTGCATCTTGAGAATGTGACCTCTCTATGTTCCCAGTCAACTTGGGGGTTATGTTCCTTTAGGAACTTCATGCCAAGGATCATTGACATGCGTCCGAGGTTTGTGATGAGCAAACTCTCGGTTGATCGGTGCCCCCCAATTAAGATGTTTCTGACTACACAATGAGTAATTGCACCACCCTTGTTAGGGCTGGCATCTGCATTGAGGATTCTTATTTTGCGGTGTAGTGGTACCATCTTAAATCCATGTTTTTGAGCGAATCTCTGATCGATGTAGCAAGAGAATGCTTCAGAATCCAATAAGACTGTTGTCTGGATTTCCCATGATGCGAATTTTATTGGCAATTCAATCGAATGTTTAGAAAAACCTGCAGATGCAATATATATGTGGTTGCTAGGTACATTCATTCTCACGGTACTAATACAATCCATATTGTCTTGAAGCATAGCACCAGACTTGTCTATGCTTTGTACTGAAAATCCTCTGAGAATTCATCCAACTCGAGGATTCTTGCGGTGGTATCCTTAATCGTTGATGCCAATGCCGTAGATGCCACGTCGTTCTGCTTCGCCTTGCCCTTGCCTATCGAAGAAGTAGGGGTGGAGGTCTTCATCCCACGTAATGCAGCAATTGCTTGTTTCAATGCTGCAATTTGAGACGATGATGCCATGCTACCTTCTTCTTCAACTTGTCGGACCTTTTGCGCTTTCCCTTTTCCCTTTCCTTGAGGGGTGTTGGTTCATGTTTGAAACTGTTTCCCTTTATACTCAGGTTTGGAAGAGGGGCACCTCTTTCCCCATTCGTAGGTGTGCTTTCCGCAGAACAAACATAGTTTGTTTGCCAGCCACTGGTCCTGTTCAGGGAAAAGTTCATGTGTAATCCTTGTGCTGGTGTCCATGGCATTAGAGTCTTTGGGAGCAGCTGCCTTACTCATCGTGGTCTGTCTGGTAGACTTATTGCCTGAGAGTTGCTGGAGATGTTTGATCTCTATTTCCAGGCAGAACTCGAGATAGTCCATCCACGTGGTTGGAATCTTCGTTGGATCTAATGTCTCTGTCACTGACATGACCGTCTGGATGTGGGCCGATTGTTGTTCCCTGATTTTGACGATCAGATCTTCATCAGAGTATCTGGATTCAGGTGCATAGGACCTGAAATTCTCTGTGAAGGTGATCATCGTATTGTGGTGAATTGCACAGTGCACATCTAACATTGACTGTGCCGTGTGCTTGGGGTCAAGCGTCTTGTACGCCATTTCCAGTTTCCTGGTGTATTATGCCCATGTGCCAACATTTTGTCCAGAGGTGAGCTTGATTGCGTACTCTTTCATGTATAGAGCAGCTCCGCCTTTCAGATGTGCATTGGCCTGCCGAATCTTGTCCTTGTCATCTGTGAAGTTGTTGTAATTGAGCCAAATGAGAAGGTTTGTAAACCAGGTCTCGAAGTTTTCTGACAATTTTCTTCTCGAATATTTGGGAGGATCTGGGAGCTTGATTCGGTGAGGTGATTGGCTTGATTGGCTGGCCAGTTGTTGGATACCTGTGGGAGGCGCATTGATTATAACATTGTTGAGCCGGTGATATGCTCAACTGCATTTTGGCCATGAGCAGCGCTTCCTAACCAAATCTCTCTTGATCTTGGAAGGTGAACTGGGGCTCATCCATCCACGGTCCCTTTGAGTTACAGTCACAGGAAACTTCAGATGATAATGCAGCAATGGGCGGCCATGAGTTGTTTGGCGGTGTGTGCTTGAAACTACCACAGAATACGGATCGATAAGTGTCGAGTTTGACTATGGGGATGCCTCTGACTGGAAATCAGTCGAAAGCTGAAGAGTGGGGGTATGTGGGTGTGAAATGTGATTGGTGACTCCTGTGCTCACGAACGGTGATAGCTGAGGGTCTGGACTGGGTCATGAGGACTGGCTATTTCTAGATAAAGCTGGCTAGGCACCAATGATGAAGCCCTAACTGCCTCCAAACTGGGTTAAGCACCAACAACAAATCCCTAATAGCTGCTGAACTGGAATGAGCACTGACAATGAAGCTCTGGGTGTCTAAAACTGGTATGAGCACCGATGAGGAACCCCTGGGTGCTAGTGAGGCTACAGAGTCCGATGGGAATGGAATCCTGGTTTGGACTTGTGACTAGTGGCGTGAGAGCAAAATGCAATGGCATGAGATGACAAAAGCACGATAACGTGACTTATCTGGCTGAAACCCGAGTCGAGCTAGAGGCCACTACTGAGAGTGCTGTCCCTCTCGGTGTCGAGAATCCCAGAGGAGTGAAACGTGATCGCAATAGACGTAGACATAGTTGGGCACGATGCCCTAGCATAGACAAGATGAGAACTGAGTACTGCTGCATGGGGAAACTCCGTGGAGAACTTCTTTTTACTCCTATGTACAGTGCAGATTATATAATGGATCAGAAATGAGCCAGCCGAGTCGCTGAAATGTGTTTCCGATCATACATTAGATTTCTGATCCAATGAAACATGTCGCAAAGCTCGCTCCTGCCCCCTCTCTGTATCATACAGTCAGGGAACTGGAAGTCCGGCCCTGCCAGGGTCTGTCAGTCTGCTACCCTGCCTTCCATTCGGCTAGTGCACTTGCTCATCTCTGAGTTGTCTAACTGGTCATGTTCTGCTCTTGCACTACACTTCATAATTGGCTACACTTCCTTATGGCTTGTTCGTCATTTCTGCACCTCATGTTCTCCTTCTGACCTCTTCATGCAGTTCTGTGTTCCAGGCAGTTGGCAACACCTTCCTTTGCCCACTCTGGACTGTTCCAGCTCGATGTTTGTCATTTTGGTGTGAGGTGGCATTCTGGGCTGCCCCCACACAGAATAACTTATTACGGGCAGAGTACACAAAGCGAACGAGCATGGCTTCGCTTTGGGTGGGGTACACGGGGCGGGGCAGTTACTAGCTCTAAAAAGGTGACATCTCGAGGCAGCACCACACTTTCCTATGCTACGGAATGGCTACACAACATGCGATGCTCATTCACGGTGAACCAGCACATACCCAGGATCTCGTATCAGAACTGACCATCAAAGTCCTCGGGGTGCAGCGTGTGGTCGGGGTCATCCTCCAGGGTGATGGTGGGGTGAGTCCTGCTGGTCGGAGCACCACCGGGGGTTGGCAAAGAGTTGACAAGCATGCGCAGTTCACGGACCCACGGGTAGAAGTCAATTGAGTGGATGTGCAACCCAGACTCCACAAGGTCTGACCGAACAGATGCTGCCTGATGCTACAAGAAGACCTCAGACTGGTGCGTGTGAGGAAGAAGGTCGATAGACATACCAGAAGTGAATGGACTGCAGTGCACCAGTGATACCACTCCACCACAGTGGAATGCGACCCAGACGCGATATGGGCGTGCTCGAATGCCAGCACCTCGAGCAAGAGGAGGTAATGATGGAGCCGGGCAGTGCAAGTGATGGCCACAAAATCAAACCACGCTTGTGTAGTGCGAGACATGGCTGAGGGGGAGGAGAGAGGGATGAGGGGCCAGGACAGGTGAAGACCTGGATGCGGACAGAGTCCCAGAGTGGGTGCTCAGACTTTAGGAGGCGAAGCTGACAGAGAGCCGTTGGAGGGGATACCCAGTCTTGGGCAGAGGGGCAAGGGCGGATTGGGGCAGGGGTGAACCATCAGGGCAGCAAGGCAGGCAAATGGGAACGCAGTTATAAGGCTGCAGGGAAAGTCGGCAGGATGAGACATGGTGGAGGGCAAGCGTTGGGGTAGGAAACCGGGAACTGGAGCGAGCGGGTCTCTGCAGAAATGAATAGCAAAATGCAGGTTTGGAACGCAATGCGATGGAGTGGCTGGTGGTGGTGGGCTGTTCGAGAAATGAGGAATAGCGGAATGAGTCAACGAGTTAGGGGCCAAGTGGGGTCGGATATGGGAGCGAGGACTGGGGTGAGTGCACCCCGGATTTGCGATATTTAAGGAATGCATAGACAGAGATATAGGGGGCTTTTCAGACCATGTACCTAGGTGATAGAGAATGCGAAGGAACTTGCACAGCAGTGGACAACAACAGGGACAGCGGTCTCAGTTCTTTTCTCAAGCTTCGGGCTCCACCACACATCAGAACTCTCATCTCTGCTCTATGTAACTGTCGAACGAATCTCATGGACCAGCAGAATGCAGCAGCGGATATGGTACGCCCTCATCCCGAAACTCCTGTATTTCGTCTAGAGCCAGTTAGACTTGCCCTGGAGCTGTTCTATCTCTCGTACTTCACGTACATCACACCAAACTGTGTCCTTTACGGTCTCACTGTCTTCACAGGCATCGCCTTCATTCATTTCTCCACTATCTTCTACATTTGGCTCCTGTGTCACCTCTAGATGCAAACCTTCCATGCACTGTTCCCCCTTCATCCCTCTCGGTTGTTTGCTGTCATTTCACAGCTAGCCAAGTACTCACAATCACACCGGATCACAGTGACTTACTATCCAATTGTGCAATAGTCAGACACAGTTTCTAGCAATTTCTGATCACAGAATATCTCAGTGCATATCACCTCCCCCATTCTGAGATCTGGACCATCCTCAGTCTGTCGGGCTTGCATACTTGAGATTGTGCATCCTCGCTTTCAGTTCCTTACTTTTTCACCACTATGTCCCACGTCGACAGTGTCTTCAGTCTCGCCGCTCACACACGCAGTGTGAGATCATCACCAGGGCTGGTGCCGAAGTGCGATGTGTTCATCCGAGGGGTTTACGAGGTGTTGCCTAGTCCAAGAAGATCCTTTGGGAAGCAGAGAAGTATGGCTGAAAGCAGAGGATGCGCTTCGGAAAGTGAGGCAGAAGCAGAGAAGTCGTTCCAGGACACGCCCCAAGACGGCTTCTGGAGATGGTTTTGAGGGGCTGTTCACAGGCACTCAATCTGGCCAGGAATGTGTAGATATCATGCTCACACAGTGCATAGAGAGGAACAATCGATTCACCTGTAGCTACCACAATCGAGGGGAGGGAAGAAGTGCTGAAAACTTCTAACTAGGGGCCTCTTATACTACCCGAAAAAGTCCGAAGATAAATAAAACAAATTAGGCAAGGTAAGTTAAATCAAAAATGGAATAAGAAATAATGCGAAATCAGAAGTAGTGTAGGATTGTAGTGGCAGCCAGACTACAGTCCTCACAGCAGGGTCTATCCTGTTGACGGCACCTGCGTGTTCTTGCTACAGTGACTGGATAACCTCGTTGGTATGTCGCCTGCTCCAGAGGCTCCAGAGGTAATCTGGCAGACTTGGGCCATGGCATTTTCGGCCTATGAGGTGAGCTCTCTGGATTGCGATCCATCTTAAAGTAGCTCATTTCGCGGTCCTCTAGTCCTGGCTGGCATGCAATTATCCTATCCGTGTCACATCGCTCTCCTTCGAGGTCAATTCAGTATACAACTGGTTAATGCTGAATGCGAGTCCTGACTTCAACTGGGTCAAAGGAATCGTCCCTCCTACGTTCGTCGGGTATGCTCCGTTTCGTGATGCGGTCAGCCCGCTTCACACTCCCGCTGAGCTGTCAGACATCATGTAAGAGATTGTCACATTCGCTGATTGCAGCAACTTTGACAAGCTTCCAGAGGGTCATGTTTATGCTTGCAACCACTTCTTGGTGGCCTATATCGAGGGCGACCTCTTTGTGGATTGGCGTGACCAGACTTATCTTGGTTGGACTCATCTGATCGAGAATTGGTGGACCGAGCATGATCTAAAGTGCATCCCTCCACCCTCTGCTGCCTCAGTCGTGATCACAGAGATCTTACGGGGTGCAGGCAAGTGCGAAGCAAAAGGGGTCACAGGTCCTTCGAAGGCATCATCACGTTCAGTGTCTGTCATGAGTACGGCGTCGTTTGTGGTTACTTTCTGTCACAGTATTAAGTGGCACCTTTCTTTTTGCACCATTAAAGTCCTCATTTGAGTGGTTATTCGGATGCCAACCTTCATATTGGTCTCGCAATGTAGATACTTGGACAAACAGCACAATGCCGCCACATACATCACGAACATGACTGTGTCTACCACATGACCACCAAGC